AGTAAGGAAGTCTCTGCTTTACAGAGCTCATGTCTTCCTGTGTACTCTACCCCCTGCTTCTGGTGCTTTTCCCATCACCCTTCAACCGAAGGTAGTTATTTTTCAACAGAAGTCTTTGTTTCCTTGAAAAGCGATGCTTGAGTCTTCTCATTTGCCTAGTTTTCACTTTTACATACGGATTCCCCCTTCACTATTGTAGTTTATTTGAAGGACTTCTGCAGTGCAGTCAGGGCCTCATCTTAAGTTTTCTTGTTTTGTCTATTGGATCATCCCAGCTGTATCGACCAGAAAGTGAATGCATTATTCAGTGATTTTTTTAGATTACAAAGTAACTTAGGCTATTAATGGAATTATTTTCCATCCTGAATGTCTAGTTTGCCAGTTAACACCCCCACCCCCAGTGTGCATTCACTGCCCATTAAAAATGTGTGTGTGTGTGTATGTGTGTGTGTTACTATAAGTCTAAGTCTACAAAATTTTGAGTGCCTGCTATGTGTTAGGCACTGGGAATACAAGCAGTTCCTCCCCTGGAAGAGCTCATCACTTAGACTGGGCTCGTTTGTCTAAGACGGTGGGTCTGGGTTATATGCTGTCCAAGATCCCTTCCAGGGCTGAAGGTCTGTGACTTTACGAATGGCAGTTTTTACTCCTGTTTCTGACTCTGCCATGTATCCTTTAGCCATCTTAAATGTTTTGCAGGAATTGGGGAGCTTCAGAAGCAAGGTGGCTTGGTTTTCTTGTGTCTCTATTCCTCTGCCCTCCCCTCTCAGACTTTTTAAAAGATCCTGGCTGGTGCTTTAATTAACATTGTGTAAGCCTGACAGAAGCAGGCCTCCTATTCCCTCAGAATTGCCTTTGGCTCCGAGTTTTTGATTTCCACTCAGATGTGGAGCCAGGACCCCACGCCAGCTGTCTGAGCGCGCTCTCCATTTCTCTTCCAGTGGGCGGGCAGCGCCGAGGCTACGACAACCGGGCCTACGGGCAGCAGTACTGGGGGCAGTCTGGAAACAGAGGGGTGAGTGCAGCTCTCCTTCTGCTCCTCCCTCTGGGCTGTGATAGCCATTCCTATTGGCTTGGGGGAGCAGAGTGGTTTGGGCTGTTTTCTCAGGGCTTAGGGTTTTGCCCATTTCATTTATTCCTCTGAAGACTTTATCATGGGAAGATTAAGCCTGTTTATGATATGAAGCTAAGATGTGTCTCATTTAAGATGGGGGATAGCAGTGGATTCTGATGCTGAAAACCCCATAAATCCTCACCCCTTCTCTTTCTCCTTTCTCAGGGTTACCGTAATTTCTACGATCGATACAGGGGAGACTATGATCGATACTATGGGCGAGATTATGACTACAACAGATACAGAGACTATTACAGACAGTACAATCGGGATGTAAGTATCACCTGGGGATAGCGAGGCAAGGGGGGCAGGACTGGAGGAGTGCGGGTCATGCCTCTCCGTCCTCGACCAGCTGTGGCTCCGAGTGACGAGTGACGGGGTTTCCCCTCTCTTCTAGTGGCCGAATTACTACTACCACCACCCCCAGGACAGAGACCGATACTACAGGAACTACTACGGTTACCAAGGGTATCGGTGAAGCCCCTGCCATTGTCGCCTGTCAGCCATGAAGCTGAATCTCTGGGGGTGCCAAGCACCCCCCAAAACACAACCAAGGAAAACAGGGGCTGTCGGGGTGGGGCTGAGCTGCCGGGGAGGGGCGGTGGGGGGAGGGTGCGCAAGCAGGGGTGGGGGAGGGGGGAGGCGGAAACAACGAAACTACATTTTTTTTAAAGTTTGTTGAAAAGAATATTGTCTTATTCTATAAAACATTTCAAACCTAGTTAGATATTTGTAATCAAAAAACATTTGTGCAGAAAGCAGCACTTAGGGCTGCCTGTCCTATACCCTGCAGTCAGCCAGGAAAAGAACTGAAAATGTCACCCTTCTGACTTTGTAAGGCAGCTGGACTGGCAGCCGAGTGAGGGAGAGTGATGGTGAGGTGGTCGGAGAGGGCGGGGAAGGAAGCTGTGAGGGCGCTCTCCATAGCAGGCAGGAGTGGGGATGGAGGGAGAGCTTGTGACTGGGGCAGTGACAATAAACGATTGGCTCTTATCAATCACTTGCACCAACTAACCGTTTGTATTTTCTTTACTGACCTTTCCCTCTTGGGATAAGTGGTCTGGTGGGCTGGGAGGCCATAGTGTCCCTGTCTCCACGTTCCGTGCCTTTGTGCTGTTTGGCTGAGGCATGGATACTACCACCTGGGTGGTTCTGTTATATAGAATCCCAGGCCAGGGAGGCACAGGGACTGTCCCTGATTGCAGAGCAGAACAGCTTGCAGCCAGTTAATGGATTTCCATAAAATCTTGGGGAAGAGTTGGGATTGCAGCCCTCAGCCTGAAGATTGTGATTTGCCAGTCTCTACTCTGTCTTCCAAGATTGAGACAGGCGGTAAGTCTCTGAAATCATCTCTGTTAGAGAATCTGTCCTCTTATAGTTCGAGAGAAGGAACGTTTCTCAGGGTTTCAGCTCACACAGAAACGAAGCAGGATTCTTTTCACTGCAGCAGGATGTGTATATAGGTGAATCCTGTGGTGTGGGCAACCAGGCCCGGGTGCTGAGAATAGCAGCTATTTTATACAGTGCGGAGGGCCGGGGCCCTGCTGGCTTTTTTGATACACAGGTAGAGAGTGAGTAGAAAAGGGGAGGGTGGGGGGTGGGAGGCAGCTCAGAGGGGCTGCTGAAACTTGGGGGAAGAGCGTGAGTGTGAGCGTGTGTAGTGTGTGCATGAAAGGAAGCACCCCTTCCCAACTTCCCAAAACAGGATTCCTCCTGGGGTGCTTCCCCTGCGTGTCCCCAGAGAGGCCTCTAGCCAGGAGACTTCAGTTGGGCTAGTTTTTGTTTGTTAACTTTACCATAAACACCCTCCCAGTTCTTGACAAGACAGCTTCAGGTTGCTGGTTCAAGAACATGGGTGGGATAGGAGAATGTTCTTTCAATACTGAGCTTCAGTTTTAATTCACCTTCCTGCTCAGCATTGTTCAGCCAAGAGCTTACTCAGCGAACACCACACACTAGCGAGAACCCTGGGTTGTGCTACTAGAAAATGCTTCACTGTCGTTTCCTCACCTGGGCAGTTCTCTGTTTAAAATTTTGTGCTGAGATTCGATCTTTCTCTCCTTCTCCCACTGTTACTCCACGCCCATGAGGGTGCCCAGGCCCTCATCCTGGCCCTCCAGTTGCCCCTGTCAGTGACACACCCTTCTGCTCCACAAGTACCTCTGACCTGGAGGCTGGAATGGGTGGCTAGTAGGCGATAACGTTTGCTTGCCCCTAACGATGTCCTTTCTCTTGGCACCTGCTTTTTGTGTGGTGCTGTCAAATGGATTTGTGTGTGGCAGTGGGTGAAGTGATTGCATGAACTTTACTGTAACCCACTAACTTTTCATTATTATTAAGGGAGTTTTTGAGAAAGCTTTGCTCATAGTGGCAGGGCAAGGAGGTAAAAACTGGAGCCCAAAGAAATTCCCTTAGGGCAGGATTATGTTGTAACAGGAAATTGAATTTGAGGCAGAAGCTGCCACCCCTTTTCAAATGTTTAGTCCTCCAGCATACAGCATCTTTTTATAGTTATGACGTGGTTTAGGGATGCTAGGCCCTCAGGGCCAGGGAGACAAAGTTTAAGCCGCTTTGGGGTTTGGAGGGAGGAGGGTTAGGGGAGGTACTTGCTGTTAATTTTTGACACTAGAAAGTCATCTTTAAAAAAAAAAACAACTTTTTTTGGTGGGTGGAGAGTGAAACTGCCACGTCCTTGTCAGTTTAGTCCAAGAGATCACTCAAAACAACAGTAGATGTCTGGGTTTTGTTTTTGTCTTTTTATTATGAAAAAAAATGTTAAGGGGGAAAATGTGGATTAACAGGAGGGATCTCTAGCCTTGTTTTCCTTAGAAGGCTTGTTTAGTGTTTAATTGGACGTCTGTCGTAGTTACTGTAGATGGAAAAGCTTGTGAGAAAAACAAACACCACATGGAGCCTGTAAATGTTTTTGCACAACTTGTAAAGCATTCTTGGAAGTGGCCAGTAAAAAAGGGTTTTACCATTAAAAAAAAAAAAATGTAACTGTGTCATTGTTTACACCTGTAACTTTTTCCTCCCCTGTTGTCACTACAACATTCTGGCAAAAATGTAGGCACGACGGTAGCTTCCAGTTTTAGAATAAATAACCGTTTGGATTGAATTCACCCTATGTCCTGTGGCTGCACTGACTGGGTGGAGTGTGTCATTGGGGATTGATTGATTTCTGATGCTGCTTCCTCAAGGGTCCTGGGTTCCAACCAAGAATGGCTTTCCTCTTTCATGGCTGATTCCCTTCCTTTTCTGCCATACCTTCCCTCAGGGGTTGCTGGCTTAATGCTTTTACTAAGAGTCACTGGAGTAGAAGAAAAATTATAACTCATGACCTCTGTGTATTTGGCCTGTACTCACACCATTTGGATGCTTGAAGTTAAATGTAGGGTTCCATTTAGAAGCCAAGTAAGTTTATTAATGAATAATCACTTAAGAGGAAAAGGGTACTTATTCAACAGAAGATACTTGATGGGGATTCTTTCCTAGTGAGTTTGTAGAATGAGAAGGTAACTATAATTAAAAGCACTATTGCATTTTTAGCACTGAACTGATCTTGATTGTAACTTCTAATAAATGGTGAGGGATTTATTAAGGCTGGGATGCCACAGGTCCAAGACGTCAGTGTTTTGAAGTAGTAGTGATGCAGAACTAGATACTGCTCTAACTCTTCCCTCTATGTGACACAGGTTCCCACCCCAGGGACTTAACAGCTTGGACGCAAAGGCTATCCTTGATTTCAGTGTCTGCCCATCTGCTAGGATATTTAAAGTTACTCAATGTTGCGGCTAATGATTTTAAATGGTTACTTAAAGCTCACACCTTGTCTCTAGTAACCGCTAAGTCCCCTTCCCCCCAATCTGATGAATATGAAAATTAAGTGCTCCCTTCAGCAGCACATATGCTAAAATTGGAACAATACGGAGAAACATGGTCCCTGCACAAGGATGACATGCAGATGGGTGAAGTGTTCCCTTAAGAACATAATAAAGAGTTGAGTGTGTAAAAATATTGAGCAAAAGCTCCCCCGCTCCCTTAAACCTAATATCAAGATTACATTTTGTTGAGCGCTTATAGCTGTTTACCAAGTCTGAGCTGACATGGAAATTTTCACTTACTCCTCTGGAATTTGCCCAGCGCTGTGATACCGTAGAAGAGGTTATTTTAGTGCCTTCTATGCCCTGCTTGCCATTTAAGTACAAATAGTACAACCCATTCGTTAGATATTTGAATGCCTGCTATATGCCAGAGACTGTCAGGATGCGGGGGTTAAAACAGACTTGATCTTCCCAGGAGTTTTCATGGGCACCAAGAAAGAACTAAGCATGCTCCTGAACAGAACGGGGGGTAGCTCCCCACTTCAGGAGGTTACTTTCACTGTTTTCAGGAGCTTCACCAGGTTACTTTACTGTTTCTTCCTCTGGAATGAGAGAAATATCTCCAGGACCTTTTAGGGCTCAGGAATTCAACAGTTGAAAAGCTGCTATTCCTGAAAGTGCCCCAAGTTCATTGGGTACCCCTGGAACCTGTAGAAACATCATAGGAAACTAAGTTCAGTTCCTGGTAGAGCACCCTTTATTCCCTTGGTTTTGTCTCTATTCTCCTGCCCTTGCAGTCTTCCTGTGGGAAGATGTGGGGAAGCTCGAAATGATGTGCTACCTCTAATACAGGTCACCCTTTCCTACTACAAGGCAGCCCTTCTCCCCTCCAAGTGTATCCCGGCATACAGCACGAGCGGACATAGAGAATTCCCCCCGGAAGGATGTACCCCTGAATTGGGGGCGGGTGGGGGGTGGGAGTGGGAGGAATGTTGACAATGCATAAGAAGCAAACGTCCTGAGACTTACCTGCTCTGCCTCGGCCCTGGTCCCACCTCCGTATGTATATTTCCTTCCCTTGAAGGAAAAAGGCTTCCAGAAGGGAGTCCGGGAGGCGCTCGTGAGACAAGAAACCTCTGGCCAGGCAGCTTGCTGGACCACTGCGATGGTGATAGGCACACCAGGGGCGGGTTCGTTGCTCCTGGCGGATGTGACAGAATGGGCCTGAATGGGAAGTGCGAGACCGGCCAGCCCCAGGTTTTCCAGGAAGCCCAAACTGGACAATTTCGGGCTTATCCAACTCCTAGGGAGGGCAGGGCGCGACCAAGGAACAGCGCCCCGAGACGAACGGCGCAGGGCATTGTCTTCACACTTCTGTTTCCGCTCCAGAGGGAGCCTCTACTAGGCAAACTGTAGAAACCTAGTTTCCCTCATAAGATCCACGCGACCGGTGCCTGCTACCCGCGTGCTTGCTGGGGTCCCCTTGCCCCATAATCCTTGGCTATAGTCGCCCGTGTGTTTTCACCCCGGTCGGGTGGACGTCGGCTTCCAGCCTTCGGGGTGGGTAAGAGTGGGTATTGAGTTGGCCAGGGGCAGCCATTTTGAGACAGATGAGCACGGAAGGGACCATATTGAGAACTCTGGATGCCTGGGGCCGCCATTTTAAGTGTGGGCCCGGCTGAGCAGCCCTGTACGGTGAAACGCGGTGACGTGCGGCCACCGTACTGGCGCGGGTCCCATGGCGGCGGCCATCTTGGAAGGAGATCTGCTGTGGGCGCGGCCATCTTAGCAATAAAACCGGCCCCTTCTCAGGAACTGGAACCAAGCTCCTCCCTTTTCCCTGGTTTCCTTGGGTCTGCGACTGTCCTCCCGAGTCTCTCTCTAAATCCACCCAGTTTGATCTGTTTTCATTTTCACTTGTCTTCATTGCCCTCCGTGTGTGTGTGTGCGTGTGAAGGCGTGAATGCTCTCCGTGGCCTCTAAGTGTCTGTTGTAAGTTAATTCTTCCACTTGAGACGCTCTCTCGTGCCCGCCATCCCTGCAACCCCGCGGATCTCCGATCCTAGACAGTGCCTAACCCGCTTTGACTGGCCCTACTCTCTGGTTATGGCAAGCCTTTCTACCTGCCGCACCCACCACCACATCTATTGACTGATGATCCTCTCCCCCAAGAACGCTAACACAGGAGCTGTCCTCTGAGACTGTATGACTTTATTCTTCAAATGGCTTTGCCCTTCCAATAGCTCCAGGTGAGACTTGAGAGCCATCCCTCTCTCCATTGTCTGACCGGGTCACAGAGGGAAGCGGGTAGGATGCTGGCAGTTTGACAGCCCTTCTGGGGATGGAACTAAGGGTGCCCCGAGTTAGGGGGTGCTCTGGGTCCTGCCACAGTGGGTGAGGAAATGGGGACGGCAGATAGGTGAGGGAGGGCTTTGTGCTTTAGATAACCTCACAGGGTTGGGCCAGGGCTAAGGATGGGATTCAGGGACCCTCAGGAGCTCATTATAGCTACTGACCTAAGTAAGGAAGGGCTGGGGTGAGGGAAAGATGAAGAGTTATGAGGAGGGACAGGACAGCTCAGAGGAGGGCACAGAAGAATTTCTTCTCCCGGAAGGGGTTCTCCGAAGTGGGCACAGGGGTGATGAGGGGGTCCTCACAGGCGTGGGCATCACAATAAGTCATCAGGTCTGCTGCTGCCTTGGACACCTGGGGCACAGTCAGGAGGGGAATTGTCAGCCAGAAACCCTGAAAATGGACTGCAGCCTCCCTCCCCAAATAGGTTATCTTTTGTCATCTCTCTGGCTCCTTAGGACAGTCTTGTCTTCCCTCATCACCCACAGAGGCCTGGGGCCAGCTCTCCTTATAGATCTCAAGACTCCTCCCCTGATCTCAGGGAGTCAAGGAAAGAAAGTATCTCTTACCCCGAGGTCTGGGAACCTACAATACACCTGGGCCAACTGATGTGATCCAGGACCCCACCCACCTTTATCCGGCACAAGCTGGCCTCAATCTTAAGCTGTTCCACCATCTTGCGGGCTTGCCCAATACTCATAGTGCTGTTCACAGGGGTCTCCCCTTTCATCCTGAAGAAAAGAGAGACAGCTCAGAACATTATGGGGTCTGGGCACAGTCTCAGCTGAAGGCCCCTCTTCGTGCTTACTCCTTACCAACCTTCACAAGGCTGGGTCATGTGCCCCAATATTTTACCCCCCTCTTATGGTCTTTTCCATCCCTGTCTTCCTCAGGTACGGAAATGGAAAGATGGGATGAGATGCTCCCCAAATTCCTACATGGCCTGGGCCACAGATCATTAAACATCCAAATGATTTAAGGCTTTATAGCCCTTCAAGGCATGTGTGTACCCAGCTGTGAAAACCCCAGCTAGAAAGAGCCCCACCCTGCTGAGGGCACAAAACCCCCATCTGCCCCCTTGAGCCCCAAAAGGAGAAAATCGAGATGCTCCCTACTCACCTGAGCCCACAGGCAGCGGCAGCCCTCAGGAGTAGGATCAGTGGGGTGCACCAAAACCTTCTGCCTGAGATGAGTGCCCCACCTTGCAGGGAGTTGCAGTTGAAAGTATCTGACGCAGCAGCAGAAGCAGCTAATACAGAGAAGGCTACTGGGGAGGGTCAGGTAGAATCCAGGGCTGGTCCCAGTTTCTGCAGCTCAAGCACTGCCCAGATGGCTGGTACCTGAAGGATGAAGGATGCTAGAAGGAGCTGCTCAGATCCTGGAGCATACCAACTGTCTGACCAGTGGGGGAGCTGGGCTGCTGCCTACAGCCCCTGTGCACACCCACACTGTTACTGTCTCATTACCTGTCCTTCCCATGTTGCAGGCATCCTGAGTCTGGGCTAGAGCCCTCCCCAAAGGAGCTGGAAGGAGCTGAGACCCAGGCAGACTCCCCCCTCAAATGGGGTGGTCTGGACCTGTGACAGCCCCTGCATTGGAGTCCATACTGGCTGCGGGAGACCCTGCTCATTTGAAAATCTGACATCAGCTGGGCAGTCGCCCCCCTCCTCCCCTCCTCCCTCTACTCTGACACAGCATTTAGCTTCTGAATCTTCGTTTCTCTCCCAGGGACCCTTCATTCTCCATATCCAGGAAAATATGATGGGCTACAGGTATCAGCTTCTAGATCACCACTTAACATTCTAGCCACAAGTGACAAGTGGAAAATCCAGGGGCAACGAGGTCCATCAGGAAGATGTCTAAAGAAATGGCAGACCAAAGAGAAGAAGGAGAAGCTGGAGGAAAAGAGACATGCAGAGACCAGATCAAAGAATCGGACAAAGAAGAGGTAGGGGAAAGTCAGTGGGTGTTTCTGGAAATAGATGGGCTTTCCGGTGTGTGTGTGTTGTGTGTGTGTGTGTGTGTGTGTGTGTGTGTGTGTGTGTTGGTTTGAGAGATTGCCTCCCACGCCTGAAATGTGCTTGGTGCTGTGGGGAATACAGAGATGTACACAACATTGACATTATCCTGTGAAGGATTTTATTTGGGGTGAATACACATATACAAAATAGAAGGTGCCACCTGCCAAGACCTAGTTTAGATAATGCGCTGTGGGGACTCTGAGCCAAAGTCTAATTAGGGTCGGAGGCGGTCAATCACGCATTGTAAAAGCTGGAGTCAAAACACAGGCCTGAGAATAGCCGACTCAACGCGCAAGATACACAGCTACCCACAGATTGCAACGTTCTTGGGGCGAATGCTCTCTGCCTTGGACGCCTGCAGATTCAAGGAACTGTGGGCAATAAAAACCAGCGCCTGCTGGATGCTGGCCTCTCCTCCTTTCCGGGGGTTAAATGGCCGGTAGTGAAGGTTTGGGCGGAGGGTCTCGAGGAGCTGGCTGAGGAGATGCTGCTGACTCACAGCATGCCCTGGGGCAAATCTTGGGGGCTGGAGGGAGGCGCCTGTCCCCTTTGGTCTGGTAACCGGAGGGTAACGGACCGTAGGGACAGTGCCCGGCGC